GCAAGTGATGAGGATGCTGGTGGTTCCTAGCGAGAGATGGCTCAAGGACAGCCCCGCTGGTTGGGTCACCACCTGCCAGCATACTCCAACCACCCCGCTCCCCCTTCGAGGTCCCTGCCCCGCCGGGAGGGCGATCAGACAGTCAGGGGCAGCATGACTCAGATTCCTGGATGGGGTGTGCTGAAGTCAGAGAAGCGGGTCCTAAAACACTGGGTACTGCCCCCTGACCCGCTCCACTTCACTTTCCCCTCAGTTCTGAGTATGATCCAAAGACTGGAGCCCCCGGGCTGTAAATGAGGAGTGGCCTCCGGGTGTGGATGGGCCAGAGGGCAGCACGGAGTGTGAGTTAAGATGGAAGCCACACTACCAGCTTTGAAATGCATTTTCCAGCCCTTTGACCTTAGGCAAGTCTCTCAGCCTCTCCGTGCAGGTGTCCTGTAAAGTGGGAATAATCACCATGACTACCACAGAGGGGTCCTAATGAAAATCCAGTGAGTGGATGTTTAGAGCGCTGAGGACAGGGCTGTTCATAGCGTGCTATATAAATGTTGGTTAAATAAACAAAGCAGCAGGAAGGAACTTGGAGCGAGGACTGGGGGAATATGGAGGGTGACTTCCTTCTTGGCAGAGCCAGGACAATGAGATAAGGAGCCATGAGGGTGTGTGGACTCCCAGGATAAAGACAGCAATCCAGACACATGTGCAAATGGCTAAAAGTGCAAGCCACAGGGATCGCAGGGAGATGGGGAAACCCTGGGCCAGAGATGTTGTAATGGCTCTGAAATATGTCAAATACACAAGAAATTAAGTTCAAGCTTTCTCTTTGTAGTTAGTTTACAAAATGGCTGGGTCAGCACTTTGTGCAAATCTGGGGTCTTCTTTTCTGCGGATGTATGAGTACATTCAGTATATAATGGAATATCTGATCAACAATTCTGAGTCCTTTCACATAATTTATCATCCAAACCCAGACACGTTTGAGTGAAAGGGGCATTAGAAATATGTAATTTTTGAAATGTTTATTTTTGATTGATGTTATGTTATACAAATGGACTTACCAAATAGTTCTGTTAAAATTTTTTTCAAAAAATTATTTTTCTAAAAAGTAAATATATATATGCCCAGTAAATCAAAATTTTAAATTCTGAATATTATTGCTACAATATTCACAAACTTCAATCAATTTCTTAGCCATATTTCTAGTAAGATGTCACTGGCATTTTTCTGAAGAATAAAGGTTTTTCAATGTGGTTTTACTATTTAAAATTTTTTTTATAATGTTGCCTGAAATCTTCAAAATTGCTTTTCATGGTTAATCATTTCAAAGATGCTGATACCTTTTGTGTTACTTTGCTAGGGCTGCCATAAAAGAACAGAAATTTATTTCCTCACAGTTCTAGAGGCTGGAAATCTGAGATCAAGGTGTCTTCTGGGTTGGCTTCTTCTGAGGCCTCTCTCTGTGGCTTGTAGATGTCCATCATTTCCATGTATCTTTACACAGTCTTCCCTCTGTTTGTCTGTGTGTGTGCGTGCATGTGTGTGTGTGTGTGTGTGTGTACGCGTGTGTCTGTATTCTAATCTTCTCTTCTTATAAGGACACCAATCATACTGAATTAGGGGCTACCCTAATGACCTCATTTTACCTCAGTTACCTTCTTAAAGGCCCTGTCTCCAAATACAGTCACATTCTGACGTACTCAGGGTTAGCACTTCAATGTATGCATTTTAGAGGGACACAATTCAGTCCATAAAACTTCTGTTGATTTTTCTTTGTAGGCCAGACAATTTTTAATTGAGAAAAACTCTCTCTACAGATGCTCAGAGGAAATTCTGCTAAATGGGGGATATTCTCAATTCTACTTTTTTCTATTAAAATGTTTAAATATTTTAACTCAAATGTTTTCACAGATGTTATCTTTTTGCTTCCATCCAGAGAAGCTTTCTTCAACAAATATCTTCATTATTCCTTTGAATGTTTCCCCAAATTTAGATGCCGCAAGATTGTATGCCTCTTCGGTTTCTTTCTAATCTAATATAGCCATAAATATATCCAATTAAAAATTGTAGCTAAGAATAGTGGCTCAGTCAAAATATTCTTCCTACAAATTGAGATATTTGAAAATGCAGTTTTAAAATTTCAAAACTGTATGTCATATACATTTGAGCACTTATCATTTAATTTGTTCACTTCTCATTTAATTTGTTAGATGCCTCTTTCAGAGTCTTCCTATTTGCAAAATTCATTTTTTTTAATAATATTAACTTATTAAAACTTCAAAAGTTAAAGTGCTTTAGAGTTTCTTCATTGAATACTTTGATAAAATATTTATAATCGTTTTGGAATAAAATGCAATCAAAACGTAGAAGATATCTAAAATTTTTTTTTAAAAGTTCAGTACCACTGTGGAACACTTTGAATTAAGACATAATTCTTCAATGGTCCAAACATTTCTAAAATCCAACAGACAATAGGCAGCAAAGAGAGGAATCTTGTACTGACACATTGATGTGTATTTTCTTGTACTCAGCATCAGCATTGTCCAAAAATTATAGATCAGTTACTCTATGTACGTAAAAATATTTGAAAATTTTACAACTTTTATTTTGAATGATATAATGTCACTTTTTTTTAAACACATTAATGAGTGACTTGTGGCCTACAGCTAATTCCCAGGATATTTCTGCTCTGTGGGTTTTTTAATTTAGAAAGAATATTCTTTTACATAATGCTGTGTTCCATTGATATTTAAATTCATCACCACAAATATTATCACTGCAAAAATAATTTTCAATGTTGAAATTTTTAACTGAATTTACAGCAACATTTACAATAATGTCAGAGGTTTCACCTTTGACGAAATGAACCGCCAAAAACTTTACTTTGATTTCATGAACTGAGTGCAAAAAAATTCAACTATTACTAGAATTAGCTTATGTGACTTTCTATTTAAAGCACCTGGTGACAGCGATATAAATTTGGCGTCACTTAAAAGCTTGTGAAGCAAGCAGAGCTTCACTTTTATAAACATGTGCGCGTGCGCACACACACACACACACAGATTAGAAAAAGAGAGGAATGAACTTGGCACATCTATTCTAATATCTGCCTAAATGAAATTTACGTTTCACCAAGTGATATAAAACACCTTTGGCAACTACCTTTGTTAAATCAGCATCTTTAAGTAAAATTCTCTTAAAATAGTAATTTAGACATAGATGCTGATGCTTGCTCAGCGGATTTGTGACCTCAGGTTTTCATGCAATACCCAACAGTCCCATGGGAGATAGTGGATGTCAACTAACATCTAACGCAAGTTATACATTCCGCTCAACTTTCTTGGAAAATGGAAATTCAGTACTTAATTTTTCATTATATAGTCACTTTAATTGTATATAGCTTATTGCTGACAAAAGCATTTACTTGAAAAATAGAAAGTGTTGTCAGACAATAAAATAAGTGGTTGTAGATTTATTCCACACAATAAATGACAAACCCTGTAGCAAGAGCATTTAGACTACTCTTTATAAGTTCAATGGTCCGATTGCTTGGTTTCTCTTTCCCTGTTCACATTACACATCATTCTAACCTATATTTTCCCACATTTCCCACTGATCCCACCCTTGGTGGCCTGATGAATTTGTGATTCTTGCAGGCCGTGGTTCAGGCCACAGCACAGTGGGTGGCCCACCAAGGAGCAGCAGTGTCAATACCTCCCCCATCAACCTTGCAGACCAAGAGGAGATAGCTGTCCTTAGCCACTTCCATCCGAGCGCACGTCCGTTTCTCAGTGAGCATCTGCAGGCAGTTGCAAGGGGCTATAATTTAAGATTTGTCAGAAAAGAATCAGGAAAAGAGAGATGGGTTATTACCAGTGAACGTTTACATTTAACCATGTGTTAAAGTAAGAATGCTGTGTACAGACCATGGCAGAAATTGGAAGTAGTATAAAGTAGAGGTGTGTCACATCTACTCCAGATAACTTTGATACAACTAGTAAAAAACAAAACAAAACAAAAAAACTTTTAATAAAATTCTTAAACCAGTAAAATTGCTAAATGAATGGGAAGCTGGGACAATAGTTAACAACCAGGACTACCTCAGGCAAACTGAGATGGGTAGAAACCCTGCTCATATTCCAGCTGATGAGACAGGAGGGAACGAAATTAACTTCTGCTTGTTGTTTGTATTGGTTTTGTCAAAATAGCATAATCTCCAGAACCAGTCCTCCCTGAGCTCCTAAACGAGCTGGTTAGTGCGGAAGCTTCCTTGCTTGGTGAGCTGCACGCTTCCTCAGCTTCTTCAGAGCAGGGGCCATGCTGTCCTGAAGATGGTAAGAGCGAAACCTCCCACCCTGCTGTAAGCTGCCTTTTCTTTCCACTTTCTTGGTACCTTCTCTGAGGGTACATTCAGGTGTAGTGTGGCAATAAAGATGAAAATGAACTAATATTGTTTTAAGTTAGCTAATTTTGCAATTGTGCCAATGGCCTTTGTTTCTAGCCTCACAGGTGTGGAAGTGGAGTGTGTGGACCATCCTACAGGTGGCCCTCATGCTCTGTCTTCAAACAAGTATGGTTTGCTTGGGTTGTTTAGCCCTGGAGTTGGGAGATGAGTTAACCTGGTAAAGGAAGAGTTCCTGAAGGAGGTGATGCAGTAAATTGTGTTCTGAGTCCAACCACTTTTCTAGGTTCTTCTGCAAGACACTTTGGAGGCATATTTGTGGGAAAGAACAAAATGAGAGATCAAATCTCCCTTGATCTCTCTTGACCCTAGACCCTCTCATTTCTTCTCCCCTTCTGCCTCAAGAGGAGCCCAGAACACCAGAACTTCTCACGGAAATGCTCAGAGAGGTCCCAGACACTACCCATCCTTGTCTCCCAGCCCCAACCTCTGGAGACCTCTGGGAAGCAAGAAGGTAAGTCTTCTGTTTTACACACAGGGGAGTATCACGTAGATTTACAAATCAGAGTAGACAACTTGGTAGTCTGAGGCAAAACTTCCATTTAATCATCCTTCTGTCCTACAGTCCCCAATGGATCCCACAAGCAGATGGCTTAAATCCAGTTACAGCAAGAGCAGCTGGTGTCAAAGACCAGGCCTGTCTGACAAGCCTCCTTGTAGGTACATCCATCCACACAGTTGTAGAAGGTGCACTTGCTGGTGGGGCTGGGATAGAGACCGTTGGACTTTCCAGCACAGAATCCACTCTCGCCAGTGCTGCCACTCCCGGGAGCCACAGTGTTGGTGGGGGAGCCCATGGTAGAGGTGGGCACTTTGCAACCTGAGAGAGTAAGAAAAGGGCCCCATAGGTTCTGGGGTGGACTAATTTCCCAGCATGAGTGTTGTGTCTGTAGTGTCACTGGGGGTTCCTCATCTTATCTGAACCAGTGGTTAAATGCTCTGGGCCTGAATCAGTGATACCCAAGTTCACAGCCCAGCTCTGCTATGAGCTATGTGACCACAAACAAGTCACTAACTTCTCTGAGCCTCAATTTCCTCCCTTAAATGATGGAATACTAGTACTATCTCTTAGAATTATTACATAAAGCATTTTCCCATGTGTATGCTGTATAAAATAGTAAGTGCTACAGAATAATTAGCTTTGTTTTTATTTTATTTTTAAGAGGAAAGTAATGTTTATTTATCACCTAAATGCTTGTCCAAATACTATGTTCCATAACCCCCCAAAATCCTACAAAGTGGAAGAATTTTAAAGATTATTTTATTCATGTCAGCTAAGGTGAGAACTGAGATTCAAAACTAGTTCTAACTTGAGTTCAGAGCCTGTGTTATGCCTACTACACTGTTGTCTTTCTTTTTTAAACCACTTTATTAGGTATGATTGATGTACAAAGTGTTTACATACAACTTGATGGGTTTGGAGATAAGTACACATTGCGGTTATCACAATCAATGTCGTAAACATACCCATCACCTCCAGAAGTCTCCTCCTGTCCTCTTTATTTATTATTTTTTTTTGTGGTAAGAATACAAGATCTACCCTTCCAGCAAATTTTTAAGTATACAATATAGTATTCTTAACTACAGGTACTATGTTATACAGTAGATCTCTAGGATTTATCCATATTGTAAAACTGAAACTTGCACCCTTTGACTAATACCTCCCTGTTTCTCCCTCCCTAGTTTTTATGTTTAAGTAGACTACACCTGTCTCCAAGAGCACCTGTGAGGATAACTTGAAATCTGAAAGAACCAGCAGAATTGACATGGTCCAGCAGTCAGCACTGGCTGTCCGCATGTCTTCCTGGCCCCTTCTGCTTTCTGCACTTGCCCAGGCCTTTGGGTCTGGGGCAAAGCTGTGTGCTGAGACTAATCGTAATTCTGCTCCTCACTTCAGGGAATGGGCCAGCTGGACCCCTTCAGGGTTCTCCTTCTCTCTTCCCTCTCCTCACCACCTAACTTTGTCATCCCTCCCTTGCCTTGTCTTCTCTGCTCCACAAAGTTCCTAAAGGCTGGAGCTGGACAGACAGGGAAAGGAACAAGGCCTTTGTGGTCCTCTCTCTACCCAGGCTCCGGAATGTTCTCCAGGAGCTCCCTGAACAGCTCTACAAGGAAAGCCCTTGGGAACAGGGATGGGCCTTTCTCTCTCACTCAGGGGCTGTCCCTTAGCAGCCACCTGAGTCTCTCTTTCTGGGTCCCAAATGCCAGTTTCCTGTGGACATGCTAGGACAGGTGGAAGATCTGAAGGAGGCTTTCTTTGAGGCCAGACTGGGAGGAGCTCTGGATAGTCTTTTCTTCCTCCTTAATGTCTAGTTTGTTACCTCGTGGCTGGTAGGTTGTGCTTCACTACTTACTGGGAGTGGAGACGCTGAGTGCAGACTTGAGGGCATGCATGAAAGGGTATTTGCCTTGTCCACAGAAAGTACCCGTGAAGTCATCCAAGCCAATGTTCCAGACCATGGACCCCCAACTTGTTATTCAGCAGCCACTCACCCTGTGGGAGAGAATCGGGGGCACTGTGGGATGTCCTTGCACAAGCGCAAGGAGTGACTCCAGCAGGATGACGGGGAAGGCCATGATCCAGTCATGGAGAGGAGGGAATGGGAGAGTGGCTTTCCCACAGAGACTCTGAGGGACTCATGGACATGTTTGTAGACAAGGAGAGATCTTAGGACTACCAAGTCAGGGAGAATGAGTCTCTCCCCTGCTCTCTGTTATCACCAACCACCTTCTGAGAAGGCTTGTCTGAGTTGGAGCTTGGGTGGGTTGTGATGTCAAAAGAGATACAGGGCCCTTCACCTGGCAAGTGTCTGGGCAGAGAGACAGGGCTCCTGATGGGGAGGTATAGGGTGAAGGGCTTTGGGGCTGGTAAATAGTAACCACCCAGATATGAGCATGTAAAGGCCAGTGGGCAGAAGCCTAATGGCTCCAAGGATCTCTTGCCTCCTGATGTGGGTTCCTCCTGTATGAAGTTACTGTATGCAGGAGAGGAGCAAAGGAGAGGAAGAAACTGATCTACACCATGGCCCTCGGGGTGGAAGAGTGCCTAATTCAGGAAGCACGAATCAGAGCGCTGGATCAGGAGCAGAGCAGAGCAGGGAAAGGGGCCAAAAGGGAGTCTCCAGGAGTGGGTGTGGGGGCCGAGGACGGGAAGGCACAGGAGCTGAGGGAAGGGAGGAACTAGCTGCAACTTCCCGGAAGCAGAGGGGCTGTTCCAACCGCCGAGCTCTACAGCTGGGCCACCAGCTCCCTTGAGACCTCAGGGCCACCCTGGGTCTTGCCTTACCTCTCTTCAGTGTTTTCTTATAATTCAAATGCACTTGGAGGGCAGGTTCCCTACCTCTCCCAACTGTGCAGAAGGAAGGGTGTGGAGGGCCTTACCTTGAGGGTGAAGCTCTTGGGATTGGCATATCCAATCCACTGATTCCCCTTGTAGGCATAGGGCACCTCCTGGGGAGCGTTCCACACCTCGGTGGCTCCTTTCAAGAAGGAGCAGACCTGGGGCAGGAGGACAAATCACGGCTCAGATGCACCTGCCTATGTTTGGCTCACATCTCCCTCCTCCCTCCCTTTATTTTCTGGAATACACTCCTCTCCCCACCTCTCTTTGCTGGAAATAAGAGCTCATGGTTCCAGTTTCACCCCAGCTCCCCTGCTTTCCCTCTTGTGGGTGGCACAGTGGAAAGGGCACTGGCTGGAAAGACAAGACCTAAATCCCAGTCCTGGGTCTGCCAATACCCATCTGTGAGACAAGGGACAGGGCAGCTTCTTTGTGCCTTGTGGCCCAGTTTCCCTTTGAAACGAGTTTTCCTGTTTCTCTTATTTGAAAGAATCTTTGCCAAAAAGAGCCAAGAGCCAACAAGGGGGTGATAACACATAATGTTTAGGGTCTGAGATTCTGGTGCTGGACAATTTTAGTTTGAATCTTAGCTCTGCCACTTACAAGTTCTGTGACCCTGAGCAAGTTTCTTAATCCCTCTGTGCCTCTGTGTCTTCTTGTGTAAGAGGATAAAATCAGCACCTCACTGTTGTGAGGGTTAAATAGGATGATATATAAAAATCACTGAGAACAGAGCCTGGCTATACATTTGGACTCGGTTAATGTTAACCACTACTAGCATGAAAGATGCACATTTACTCTAAAAGGTTAAAATTTGAGATGTTTTATCAATAGTTCATTCTACCCTTCCCTCCCTACCACATACACTCAGAGCTGGCAACAATGGGGTACCCTGTATTAGAAATCAGAGTATAAATTCTTTCTCTTTGGAAGTATCTATGATCCTTTAGAACAGAAAGTGAATTTCTCTGCTCCTCCGGCCCTCTGGGACATTACCTCAAAGTAGGCAAGACTCCCAGCCTCCTGAGTGTAGGACCTGGCAGTCCCAGGGCCAGAGGTTGGAGCATCCAGGCCATGGCTGGCAGGGTTCGTGAGAGTGAAGGTACTGGCATAAGCCCCAAAGCCCACCATCAGCTCCTCAGCAGGGGCACCTTGATTCTTCCAGTAGCTCATTGCATAATCCTAGAGGCAAGGTAAGGAACATATTACTGAACTAAAAAGTAGCTGAGAATGTGCCCAGAGGCCTGTGGAATAGCCAACACTTTCTACCCAATTTCCTGGCCACTTCAGACATAGCCTGCAGTCCAGACCCTTCCACAGCCCAACCTCACAGAAAGGAAAGTGGTACCCTTCCTTCTGGAACGGGGTGTTAGAGGCAGCGTCAGTCAAGAGGTATAGTACTTAGGTAGCAGGGCCCAGTGTCAACTGGGAATGAAATGTTTCACTGTCCTCCTTCCCCTCATACTGGACTTGGCATTTGGGATGGGACTGGAGTTCAGCTATGCATCCTCTTGTTTTCCCAACTTGTGAAATATAGCAGCTCAGAATTTTTTGAGCATGGGGTATGCTCCTGGGAGACTTTCCCATGCCAATTTTTATATCTCTGGTTGCATTCTACACTGAAATCACATCTAGCCAACTTACACACCTACTAATCATTAAGAAGATTTATTATTACAGCTGCCTATGCCATACAAGTTAAGAAGATAAATCTTATGGGATGGGGAGAAAGCGGAAGGGAGGTGAGGAAGATTAGGGGCAAGATAGATCATGAAATGTGCTCCTAGAATCAATGACAATGATAGTTAAATTATTTTTTCAATGTTTGGGGTTATCGCAAGCCACTATTCTGCTTCCTTTGGTGTGAAAGATGAATGGGTACAATTAATCATAGGAAAAAGGAAGCAGGCAACATGAACTTGGTTAAAAAAGATCACCATCTTTAGCTTGTCCATCAAGCTTCCTCAGCCTCCCTTTTGGTCCTTGGCCAGGGATCCCATGACATGCTTTGAAAATATCCATCAGAATTAGCTGTCCCAAACCCTTACTCACCACACTGAAGTATTTGTAGTCTCCCTTGTCATTGGGTCCTGCAAACAGGGGGCTGTCCTCTCCTGTGAAGCCATCCCAGGAGCCCCTGAGGTCATAGGTCATCACGTTGATGAGGTCCATGTACCTTGGGTTGTTGGGGGTAGGATACAAGAGAAGAAAAATGATCCAGAGGAAATCATAGTCTTTATCCCACTCCCCCTAAAGCTCCTAGTCCCTACTGAATGTGTTGTTTGTAATTACATCATGAGGGAATATGCTTTATTGTTCTTTATTTCATTCTCTCTCACCTTTATTTGAAAAATTGATATATAGAAGGCATACAATCCATAATCAATATCTGGCTGCACTCAGACCTTCAGGTCTCGTAGAAATTTGAAACTCAACTAACCTTTTCCAAATAGCCTTTTATCATTGAGAATTTTGGCTGGCTTCCCATGTCTCTCTCTCAGGCTTTGGGGTCATCTTATTCTTTTGGGACAGAGCCCTCTCTCTCCAAGGTACCTGAGCATTGGCTAATCTATGGGGCAGGTCTCAGAGTTACTTAGCTCTAAATTTGGGTTCCTGGGCTTGGAGTTTACTTACTTCGACATCTCGGGGATCTGGTAGGCAGTTTCAATGGTACCTTTTCCAGCTGACACAGCAGCAGAAATCAACAACCTAGGCTTGTTGCTCTGGGTGGCTTCGTGCTCAAAAGCCTCATACATTTCCTGTGAAACAGAGGACACTGGACTCAGGCTGCAAGGACCAATGAACATTTGACGAGGTCATGATTCTTACAAAGAAAGCTGAAAAGTGTTCAGCTTAGAGTTCTTTGCTTCAAAAACTGTTGTTGGGGGGCTTCCCTGGTGGCGCAGTGGTTGAGAATCTGCCTGCCAATGCAGGGGACACGGGTTCGAGCCCTGGTCTGGGAGGATACCACATGCCGCGGAGCAACTGGGCCCGTGAGCCACAACTACTGAGCCTGCGCGTCTGGAGCCTGTGCTCTGCAGCAAGAGAGGCCGCAACAGTGAGAGACCCGTGCACCGTGATGAAGAGTGGCCCCGGCTTGCCACAACTAGATAAAGCCCTCGCACAGAAACGAAGACCCAACATGGACAAAAATAAAAATAAATAAAAAAACAAAACAAAACAAAACAAAAAAAACTGTTATTAGTCTCTGGGAACAACACTGAGTTGTCTCCCCAAAACTTGTACTGAGGGAAATTTGGTGACCCTCTAAGAGTCACAAATAATGTCCAGAGCAGAAAAATAAAAAAAGAAAGCTTATATATGGACAAAAAATAAAAATGGCTCTTAGCTTTACAGACTATATATGATTAAATCTAACAATTGGAAAAATCAATCATGGAAGAAGAGGAAATAAGAGTAACGACGCAGTCATTGGTGCTCAATCAAGCTGCCCAGGGGAGAGGACACTCTGGACCAACAACTTTATGTCTGGCCCTGGTGGCAGGAGTACCACCTCGCTGGAAGCACCTGCTTCTACTTACCAGAGTGAAGGGCCATCGAACATCTCAGTCTATAACTAGCTCACCTTGCCCTACATGCTGCCCCCAAGGAAGGACCTGTTTGAGGACTATTTGACTTCCCATAGCTGTGCTTAGAACATGAATGTTTCAGACTCCTTGGCAGATTTCTTACTGTAAATAAATTAACTTTCATGCTCCCCTATACTAGTCTCTATAACTTGGCCCTACAAGTTTTCCCTGAAAGAAAAATCTGATCTTACACTAAAGAAATCAGGTTTTGAGCCAGAAGAGCTGAGATTCACACCCTCAGGTGTATTTAGCCTCTCTCAGAACCCCTCATCATATAGAGGTCTTCTCCCCGTCCATTGTGGACCAGATCCTATGTTCTTTGGACACAGGGAAGGTGAGTCACCTTCAACAGGACAGTGAAGAGCTGCTTGGTGTCAGCTGGGCTGCCACAGTTGACAGGATACTCCCAATCAACGTCCAGCCCATGGAAGTTGTACTTCCTCAGAAACCATATGGCTGACTGGATGAAGGTCTGGTGGTTCTCAGCAGTGGCCACCATGTTGGAGAATCTGGAGTCAGCAAGTCATTATGATCTTAGTGGCAGTGATGGGCTTCAACGTGGACTCTCTCAAGGGCAGGATTCTATTATGCGACACTTGGGGCTGGGGTAGGGGTGGGGTGGGGGGACACAGGAGGAAACAATAGTGGTCTAAGCTCCTGGGTCCTCTGTCTTGTCACTTAGCCTCCTATTTGTCCAGATGCATATTCAGTTACTCAGACATTCATTTGACATTTGGTAGTGCTGGGATATAGTGGTGAATACAATAGAGTTTCTGCCCTGGAGGAGCTCCTATAAAGGAAGGTATAGATAAGTAGATAGGCAGGTGGTAAGAGCTGTGATAAAGGAAGGACAGACTTCAAAGAGAGCCCTGACCAGAAGGTTATAGGGTATCTAAATTGATACCTGAAGCCAGAGGCCACCCACTTCAGAGAATTCAGAGCCCTTGGAGTTTGGAAGAGACTGAGTAATCTGGGAGCGATTCCTCTGTGAATGCAAAGTCTTACCCCTGGGTTCCAAAGTTCCAGCCCCAACAGATAGCAGGGTTTTCAGTCCCCTGTTGCTGGAGAGAGAAAGATCCCAATGTAAATAAAATTCCACAGGCAAGGAGATGTCATCTGCTGGTCAGTCTCTCCACCCTCGTATCCCACACCTGAGCAGCGCCAGGCCTACCCCGTTACCAGTCTCTGATCTCACACTGGGAGCAGAGCTCTCTGTAGGAGAAAAGTACTGTCTTACTCTGGGTACCTCCAGGACACAGTATAAATGCTCATTGAACAGGTTCCTGTTCCTGGCCTTGCCAGTGGGCTGGTGGATCCTGATTCAACAGGAAGCTTCAGGGGAAGACAAGGCAGGGCATCCTAGGGAGGATGGAAAAACCTAAAAGTAGTCCCTTAGCACAGATGGTAGAGGGGCTGGAGCTGCCAGGATACACTAGGCCAGAAAGCTGAAAGTCTGAGACTCTTAAAGGAAAGAACAAGGAATAGAGGCAGTAGAAGTGTCTACCATTTACTGAGTGCCTACCAAATGCCAGGTACTTTTACATGCATTGCTTCTGTCACCCTTACAATCCCAATAGGCAGGAACTATTAATCTCACTTTGCCCTTTAAGTGATATTCAGAGAGCTTAAGCAATCTGTTCCAGATCACCCAGCTACTAAGGTTGGCAGAGCCAGGATTTAAACCTAACTCCTCTATTCCATGGTGTCTCCCAGCAGGCACCCAGGTCCTGTGAGCTTGATCTTAAAAACTACCCACTGGATTCCCAACTGGACCAAAGTGTCAATTAACCTATCTGATAAACTGATCAGGCATTCCTGAGTTCTGCCACTTACTAGTTCTGTGGGCAAGGGAAAGCTTTTAACCTCTCTACAGTGCAGTTTCCTCAAGCTTAAAATATCTTTTAAACTTTAACATGCCTACTTCCTAGTGTTTGTCGTGGGGGTTACATAAATAATAAATGAAAAGCACCTAGCGTAATGTCTGGCTTGCCCAATTCATTGGTAGTCACTCAGTACATGTGCTAAGTGTTTAACTGGCACGAGAACCATCTCAGGTTAAATTGGCAGCTAGCCCATAGGTTGGTGTGGGTCTGTACTGCAACATGGCAACCTCCAGGGGACTGTATTCACAATGAATCCCTTGTGGATGGCAACTCATGGGACACATAACATTCAATGCGAAGGATCTGCTGAGAAAATAATCCAGACAAATGACAGCAACCTGCCTCTCCTAGGGAGAATGATGCCAATAGCTCTGCCAATGAGGCATGAGAGTGATTGCAAACAGGACTCAAAGACTAGGCATTCTGGTGTTGGTGTCTCTAAGAACTTCTGAAAGACCCATGTGAAAACCTCCAACCCAGCCCAGAGCCCAAGCTCAGAACTCACTAGTGCTTGAGGCCATTGATGCTGGCATAGAGGGTCTCATCATTCCACTCAATGGTTGTCATCTGGTTGTTGGTCATGCCAGTGAAAGCAAAGATGATGTGTGTGCAGAGACAAGGGTCCACATTCTCGGGCATGTAGCGGGCAATCCCAGGACGGTACTGGCTCCAATTGGTGAAGTAACAGACACTTTTGGTTGCTGTGCCTGGAACGGCAGGGAAATAAGAGGTGGCCCCTTCCCTGACTAATATCCCTTGTCCCCAGGGCACCCTGGTACACCCCATCCTCACATGGGGCAATTACCCAGCTGCAGCAAGAGGGCCAGCCCTAAAGAAGAAAAGAGATCTTGGTCAGAGGGTAGCAGGGTCATTCTTTCCCTGGCTGACCTGGGACAGCACTCGGCAGTAAATGGAGAAGGGGAGCTGGGGCCTGGTGCCCCCTCTGCTCTATAAATCCTTTCCCAGCATGGACCCCTGCATGATGATTTCAGGGAAAGTAGCTAATGCAGGCACTCGGTGAGCTGCCTGGGAGCTCAGATGATAGTGAGCAGTTCAGGAACCAGGAACACATGTTGTTATTCGTTCAACAAACTCATATTAAGTACTGAGTTCTGAAGACAAAAAGAAAAACTAGACAAACTCCCTGCCCTCAGAGAACTCTGAGCCTGGTGGGGAAGTCAAACCTGTAAGCACAACCAAACCTCAGCTCAATGCAATGAGACAAGTGTTAACATTGAGATATGCACAGGATATTATAGAAAACAAGTCAGGGAAGACTTCCCAAGAGAGGTGACATTGGGACTGGGCTCTCTGTTCTCCCTCTAGGCTCCTTTGGGATTTGTGCTTTCTTATCCCTATCACAGCATGTTTCACCCTGAAAGCACTAATTGTTTATTGGTCTGCCCACTAGAATATGAACTCCCTGAGGGCAGGGACTGTGCTTACACCGCTGAATCCCCACTACCCAGCCCAGTGCCTGGCACATGGTCAACCCTCTGTCCATATGTATTGAATGAACAGACCCTAAAGATAAACCAAAGTGGTGGAGAAGGGCAGAGGAGGCACCAGAGGTGGAGTAGGGGAGGGCAGGCAGAGGGCCCCCTCAGGTAGCCATACCCTTCACACTAAGGACTAGAACTCACTTTTCCAGAACCAGTTTCACTCTACTTCTCAACGGAAATTATGCTCCTAAATTTTATTTCCATCCAAGCTACCCAGTTGTACCCAGGATGTGCTGTGCTATCTGACTCAGTGACCATTCTCATTGGGCTCCTACCCACAGTTGTGACGTCATCTCTAGGGATGAGTTAGCACTGGAGGAACTGCATTAGCTCTTTAAGGTCTTGTCTGCCTCTCTCCCTGGAACCCTCACACCTATCCCCAAAGTACACAATCAGAAAAACCTCTGCCCCATCCAGTTTTCTGCTAACTGTTCCTGTTAGTTGATTAATCCTTGGTCAAGTGTATGCACTGAGTTTCCGCTCTGTGGCTGGCAGCGAGGAGGCATCACAGAGCATCAGAACTAGAATGGCTAGCCCAGGAGTTGAGGAAGATGGTGGAAGAGTAAGACGCGGAGGTCACCTTCCTCCCCACAGGTACATCAGAACTAGAATGGCTAGCCCAAGTCTTCCATCACCCTACATGGGGAAATGGCCTTGTCCTGCTTCACCAGAGTTATCCATTTTCTTTCCCATCTGAAGCCCTTGGGTGATTAGTGGGCCCTTCCTTCCTCTTCCTCTCCCTCTCTTCCTTCCTTCCCTCCCCACTATTTTATGAACCCAAGGAATCTGCAAGAGAGAAAGGGGACAAGGAAGCCTTGGAGCATAGAGAGTGAGGGTGGAGGTAGAATAAATAGAGGAGAAAAAGCAGATACTCTGAAAGCTCAACTGGGCCACCTGGGACAGACTCACCGGCAAGAATCAGCAATTTCCCCTTTTTGATGGGAAGTGCTCATTGCGAGTTCCAGGGCTGAATGGGCACTCGACAGCTTTTTATAGGGAACACTGGAGGCCTTCCCACCCCGCACCTGGCTCCCTTCCGCAAGCAAGGCTCCCTTCCTCTGACCCAGAAATAAAGGGGTAGCAGGGGACACATGGCTCCCATTTATCCTCTGAACCTTATCTGTGTTTTCCTTCTTAGGTAATCAACCCCAAGACACTATGGAGACTCGGTAAGAACAGCCTTAAAAGGTTATTGACTGAAGGTACGTTTAGGAAAATGGTATATCTGGCACAGGTATAAGGCTGCCCTAGGGTTCAAAGTCATTACAGGTCACAGTAGGCCCTACATGTCCAAAGAGACCATCTGGACTCTAGGGGAGGAGTATGGACAAGGGAAGTGAGGCTGCCATTTGACTAGGATTTATCGCTGGCTAGACAATGGTAGGCAGCCCTGCCCAGCCTCCAACTCCTTGGTTCCATCGTAACAATAGATGTCAGGTAATGGCTACCAGTTTGTGAGGTTTCACCAAGTTTGCAGTGAGAAAGCATCACTTTTCAAACTTGCTTCCGTTTAACTGAAGGTTGCTCGGTTTTCAGAGGATGGAGGAAATTCACGGGGTGCAGACATTTATAGTTAGGCTTTGCTTCAGACGGGAGAAGCAGCAAGTCCTGGGACAAGGCCCCAGGGAGCCATAAAAATCAGAGCAAAGACAGCAACAAAAATGTCCGTGGATCGAGGCACTGAGAATCACAATGTTTTAGGACCTGCCTCCCTCCCTCCACTCCACTCCCAGGCTAGCTGCCCAGACAGAAGGGGATGCACCTACAGGAAGCCCACTATGAGGCCATATCACAGATGTCCAGACCGCGTCTCAGGGTCACTCAGCCTCAGAAGGCAATGAGAGGAGCAAAGGTGTGGTTTTACCTCTGGCATTGACACCAGCCCCAGGACACACACTGAGTCTGACTAAAATCCCAGTTGGGGGCTTCCCTGGTGGCGCAGTGGTTGAGAGTCCGCCTGCCGATGCAGGGGACACGGGTTCGTGCCCTGATCAGGGAAGGTCCCACATGCCGCGGAGCGGCTGGGCCCGTGAGCCATGGCCGCTGAGCCTGTGCATCCGGAGCCTGTGCTCCGCAACGGGAGACGCCACAACAGTGAGAGGCCCGCGTACCGCAAAATAAATAAATAGATAAAATAAAATAAAATAAAATCCCAGTTGGGACGGGTGGCACTGCTGGTTGCACTCCAGGCAACACCTGCTGTTTAGAGACCTGCTAGGTGAGTGTTCAAGGCCTGCTGAAAGATGCTGATCAGACCTTTGGGAACTTCTAATCCAGACCCATTTAAGGGCAATCTGGGTTCACAGAGAATACAGGAATGGCTCCTACAGATTTCAATATAAGTATGATGGGCTGCTGGCAATCCCATGGCTGTTATCCTTCCCAGGCCTTTGACTCAGTTGGCCTCTAGTCATTGACTGCCAAGCACTTGAGGCATTAACTAACTGGAATTGGCCCAGTCTTGAAAATAGTAATAACAGCTCACATTCATTCAGCACGTGCAATGTGAGAGATGATTAAGTCATTTAATCCTCAAATCAACCCTTTGAGGCAGATTATTGTCATCCCTTTTACAGACTGGGGAAACTGAGATTTAAGGGAAATTAATTAACTGTCTAAGGTCACAATGAGAATAAGTAGAGCTGAGACCCAAGCAGAGACAGCCTGCCTCTGGGACCTGGGTTCTCTTGCTCCACCATCCCTCACCCACACCACCCTATACAACCGGCACATACGGCTCCTCTTTGGCAGAGGACTCCTAGCCTTAAAAAGTCTCCTGAGAGAAGTTGTCTGGGGTGGGGGGTGGGTAGGAGGTTGTTCAGAGTTCCTCTCCAATCTCAGCTAAACAGAAGGCCCTAATCTCCTTAATCTACTCCTGGATATTTGCAAAGCAAAGGGTTCTCTCCTCACAGCAGGTGTGAGAAAGGAATCCATAGAGTTCAGGGCTTGGAGCCCAAGACATAGACCTTTGATGGACTCTTGGGCTCCATGCGAGGCCAAGGTAACTGTGTTGGACAGCTGTCCATGATAATCCAAGTAACAACAGACACAAATAATGTTTTTGATGTGTCACGTACTAGCATAAATTCTTTGCAAATATTACCTTACTTACCCCTCATATCTCCGGCAGCAGGCACGCTTATTATCCCCATTTTACAGAGAAGAGTGGAGCACAGAGAAGGTAAGTAACTTGACCAAAGTCACACAGTAAGTTAGTGACAAAGCCAGGATGTGAATCCACGCAGTCTGACTCCTGACTGTGCTCTTAATCATTTCACTCTTCTGCTTCTCAAGAACGCAACAACCTGAGGAAGCAAAGGACTGAGCCAGAGTTAGAAAACCAGAGAGGTACCCCAAACAACGTATACCTTATAGTAAGAAGACCTGAGCTCTGGGGCAGCATTTAGGGGGCCTTGGGCACAAAGTTCCCCCTAGTCTCCAGCAGCGTTTGCCACCCCTGTTTTTTCATATGTACATCGAATGTTTTCTCAACCATAAAGGAATAAATCCCCTAGTACTCCCGCTCTCACCCACCTTCGGATCATGTAGCCACCTCTAAGCCCCTTCATCTGCAGAAATTCTGGTGCTGAGGCAGGAGATAGACGGGTTCCAGGCTAGGCATTTACAACTAGCCTCCTGTTTACATTTCTTGAGGAAGGAGGCGTGTGGGCTCTAGACTAGATACTTGCAACCAGCCTCCTGTTTGCCCTTCGAGATGGAAATAACAACAGGAACAGGGTAAATAGCTGGACTTTGCCTCCTGTGGACACTTTAAGATAACAGTTATGGCAGGGACAGAGAGGGTTAAACCCTGCTTGAGTAAAAGATCAAGAGGTCACATATTTACCATCCTTGGGTCAAGGGAGATACTGCATATACACAGAAAGACTCCTTGTTGGTCAAACAGGAGGGGGCACCACCCCAGAATAGGTGCTGCCAAGGCCCCCCATAGGCCTCTTGGCTGGAATCCATCTTGGAAAAAGTAGTGCACACCTGTTGGGGAGGGTCCTAGGACAGGTCAGGTGTGGAAAAAGAAACCAGGTAGTTGGCCACAGGTAACCAAAGACCCGGAAGAACTGCCCGATATAAATGGCTTAACCGCCTCTTTACTGCACTCCTCATTAAGGAGGACGCCCACACCCTTTCTCTCCTGGTGTGTATCTTTGCCCTGCTTCTTTCTTAACTAAACAAACTGTTTCTCCGTGGGCTCTCCTATTTGTTGTACTGTGTCTCTAATAATAAACTTTGTACCTGGTTTTACAGTTTTTCCTCCTTGAGAAATACATTTTTCAGTGGGAGCAAGGGCCGGGGGAATTTTGCTTCTAGCCTCTAGCCCCTGGGGGTCTAGGGGCTAGGATTCCTTGTTTTCATCCAGGTTAGCCAGGTTCAATTCCTGGTCAGGGAACTAAGATCTCGCTTCCAGCCACCGTTCACTGCTGTCTCTCCGAGATCAGTGCTGTCACCACTTAGATATATGATCTTACATTCCCTGAGCCCCAGTCAGCTCATCTGCAAATTGGGCTTAAATACCTCCTTCATAAGCCATGAGGTTTAAATATGCAAATGAAAGTCTTGTTCAAAGTTTAGGATAAGGGACTTCCCTGGCAGTCCAGTAGTTAATACTCTGCGATTCCACTGCAGGGGACACTGGTTCAATCCCTGGTTGGAGAACTAAGATCCCTTATGCCGCGCAGCCAAAAAAAAGAAAGTTTAGAATAAAAATCATTTTTCAATAAGGAAAGGATTGGAAGAGTAGTGGGAGAATGAGGGGAAACACAATTTATCCTGAAATTTATTCTGAACTCAGAAACAGCCTTAGACTTCAAGCAGCCTTACTCCCTGCTTCGAGCACCATGCTTTAGAGGAAGAATTGCAAACTTTTCCATAAAGGGCCAGATAGTAATACTTTAGGCTTTGTAGGCCATACCGAATCTGTTGCAAGTTCTTGACCTTACCACTGTAGAGAGAAAGCAGCCATAGACAATACGTAAACAAAAATGGGCACAGCTGTGTTCCCATAAAATCTGATTTACAAAAAAAATCAGTGCGTTAGATTTGACCCATCGGCCGCAGTTTGCTACCCCCTGCTTTTGATGGCTCCATTCTTGCCCTCTTCCAGCTGCACCCCTCACCGTGAGGTGAGAAGACTGCAGGGCTAAGGGCACATCCACCTGAAGCCCACATCCTTGCTCTTTTAAACCCCAATCCAGATACCCAGGACTCCTGCTCAAATAGCCCAAACAGCCTGTGCCCACTTTCAGGGCCTGCACAGCCCTGTTTCCTGGTCCCATGATCCTGAGTGTGAACCACAATGCTAGTGTGAACACACCTGCTAGAGGATGTGTGTGTGTGTGTGTGTGTGTTGGGGTGGGGTGGGGTGTAGACAAACCTTGGATGCAAAGTGTGTATGTGAGGTCCTTGCTCTGTGGGACAGGGATGGAGATGGGAAGAGAAGGGTGTTGCACATGGGCTGGGAACCAAGAGCACAAGCTGCCGCTTGCTGGTGCAGAATTCCGAGGAGTCGGAGAATTCTAAATTCAAACCTGCTCTTTTAGGTCATTGTGAAATCATACTTGTTAAGAATACAAACCATATTTTAATACTTGGCTCATTTAAATATTTAGACATACGATATGCAGGCCTCCATTTGTACCCCAGCCCTGGGTGCCACAAATGGTGAGACAGGACAACCTTATACCAGAAGGTCAAAGATTGCACAAATGAGGCCACACTGACTGGAGCAAATGCTTCTTTTATTGTGCTTCAGGACAACAAGTGAGCAGTTGCAGGAGAACAAAGCCAGGCCCAGTCTGAAGTCTGAGAGAAAGTCAAGGGGTGGCTTGGAGGAGAGACATCTGGAGAGCGTCTTCTAACCTCTGAGACTCTCACTCAGGAATTCCTGCAGAGGAGGGGCAGGCAGCTCCTTGCCTGCTCAGCTACGAGTTAAATCTGGGTACAAAAGAAAGACTATTTCAAAGCCCAAGTCAGTAACCTGAGGCCTGAGTCAATTTACTAAGCCATAGATGTTCAGAGTTGGAAAGCTGCTGCCCAGTCATATAGTCTAGGAGATTTCAAACTGTTCTGGGCCTTTCTCCAGGACAACATGGCCAGTCCTCTCCAGTTGTCTGTCTGCAGTGATTCCCAGTCTCCTGCTCCTCCATTGCAATGGATGTCAGCACAGCTGGTTGGTCAGCAACTGGCTCTCACCTGCACAAGAGGATATGTGTACGATTCACCTGGGGAACCAGGCACCCCGGGATGGAGCAGAGCCAAACCACCTGCCGTTAAGGCAATAGTGGGCTTGGTCATCAGTGATGACCATGAGACCTCCTGAATGTCTAAAGTAAGGTCAACTGTGGATGTGGAGAGGGAGGGAGCTTTACTAACGACTGAGATTGGCTTTCTTAGCAGTGAGTGGGGGACATAAAATCAGATTTATTCTGATTTAGAAAATTAAAACAGGCTGATAATTTTGTGGTGGAGTCAATGCTTATGCCCACTCTACATGAAAAGAAAGCCCTTAGCGCAGACTGTTCTCAATAAATAGTAACCAAATTATTACTGTTATATTTTTAAAATCTATGGGAAGCCCACCAAAAGGACAGAACCAGCCTAATCAATAAGGAAACAAGGCAGAAGGTCCAAAGGACATAAGAATGGATCAATCCAAATATGTGAAGATGATCTCCCCCAGTCTCCTGTGTCCCACTCTGCCCAGCTCTCCGCCCACTCCCAGCCTGTCCTGGACTCTGTTATCTTCCTAGGGAGCCAAGGTTTCTCTTGACAGCTTGAAAGAGGGGGTAGGAGCCCTGGCTGCAGGATTTGCTGGTAAAGTCATCCATGTCAATGGACCAGATCATGGCCCCTCCCAGGTTTAGATTCTTTAGGAACTGAACCTGAGGGTGGCACAGAAGGGCATACAGAGGTTAGAAGAGACTGTTAAAGGCCCAAGACCCAAGTCAGGTTCAGATGAGGGTTTGAGCTTAGAGTGCAGAAGTAGACTTATAGCCTATGGAGTCATGGATTCCCTGAAGGGAAAGGTCACTTAGGGAGGCTTATAAAATGAAGAGAAGGCCACCCACTATTAACCACTTCTCATGGAATAACCACACCCTAGGTTCAGTGTTCTTGGAGGCTCTGAAACACTAGAGGCTCCGGTATGAGGAGTGGGAACTAGGAAGCCACTAGCAAGATTTGAATTACAATTGGGTTGTCAATTACATTGATGCCTTTGTCCTGCTCTAAGCCTGGAAGGCAAAGGTTTTAGCAAGATCTAAGAACTGGTAGGCTCAGAAATTTGGAGTCTCCTAGAGAGGTAATCCATGAGAAGGACGGAAGGGTTTTTCCTGAGATGATCAACTGGGTGGGTAACTACTCTATATAGGCACCAATGTCTCCTTTGTTCCCTCTCCCTTCTCCTCCTACCTCCTCTCCACTCCTCGCTTCTCCCCTTATTCTTAATTCTTCCTTGCGTCCTTTCCACCTCTCCCACATGTACCATAGGTGCTCACAGGTGTGGCTTAGAGTCACTACTAGGTTTGAGCCACAGAGGCCACTGGATCCCATCCAAGAATGGAGCCCCAGAGGCTTCTTTCCTTCCACACAGACTACTAAGGCATTTGATCTCACACCCCATTCCCACCCGCATGAGTGTTCTGCTGTCCCAGAGCCTCTTGCCTACCTACCTTGGTCTCCACGCTCTCCACATCATCATAGCTCACCCACTGGTTTCCCTTGACTGCATAGGGAACCTGATGATCCTGGAGCCTCGTGATCTTGACTCCTTTCAGGAAGTGGCAGATCTGTCAGGGGAAGGAGGAACAAGAGGGTCAGTAATGGGTTCTTCTTGAAATTTAGAAATAGAAGGGACAGGTAAGACACTAGGGTCTTGGGGACAACAGAATCTTCACTCCAGGGATCAATGAGAGAAATGACCAGATACAGCATACAGAATGGATGGTCCAAGGTGAACCTTTGGGAATTGTTTGTGCTAAGTCCTCATCAGGAGGAGCCACAAACAGCTAGAGGGCAGACAGTACTTGAGTTCCACATCAGACCTCAGCACTGACCAGTAAATCTTCCCATGTCTTCATTTGCAGAATGGAAACTATTATAATTATGTCTCCTATACACCTATCTTACAATATTGTTGTTAGGATCAAATGAACTAACACTCGTTAGGAAAAAAACAACTTTGAAAACAGTAAAGTGCTTTATAAATATGTAGCATTACAATGACAATCACCATCATTCCCCCCACCTTGTAGATTATCCCTGCTTCAATCCTGCTGCTCTCCCTCTCCCCTCTCCCCTTCCCAATGTGCCTGTGTTGGGATCCCCACTTTTATCATCAGCTATTTTCTCTTTCTGTTAGCATAAGTAAGAGCTACTAAAAGAGATAAATCTTCAGTGGAAAAAAATGTATTTTAAGGTCATGTAGAAAACTCATTTTGGATCTTGCTTACATTTTTTAGATTATTTACACTCACGTTTGCCTCAAAGGGGGTAGAAAATGGAAAGTTGAATATTTAAGCAAATACCAGTTTGTCAAAATTATAATGATCTAGCGTGGTAAACTGAACAATCAAATTAAATTTTCCATGAAATAGGGAACTGTGTATCCAGTGGTCCGTACTAAAATCCTACCAGCAGATTCTGAGCACTGACTTCTCTTATCCCTTATATTAAATGATTCAGTGAGGACTACCATGGTGACCCATGCCCCTTTCCCCCTGCCAACTGAACAAGGTGCCTCAATCATTCCCCTGTGTGAGAAGAGAGGAAAAATTGAACATTACACTCACTGAGTACCTCAGTGGATGCCAAGTCCCTCAGTAGGGGTTTATAGCTTGCCCACGCCAGTGACAAGAGGCTAGACTAGGACTCCAAGGGGAAACCAAGATGTAAGATATTATACTTTCCTTACCTGATCCAACTCCTTCCCATCCTTCAAGGGCCAGCATGTATCTCTCTTCCCCTGTTACCCATCTTTGAACTCATGACCCTCCATATTGGCCACTTAATCACATCTCATTTTGCAATACCTACATAATTTTATTAACTATTATAGTTATCTTTGGGTTTCTTTTTAAGTTTTTTTTTTTTGGCCACACTACGCAGCTTACAGGATCTTAGTTCCCCAACCAGGGATTGAACCTGGGCCCTCAGCAGTGACAGCACGGAGTCCTAACCACTGGACCGCCAGGGAATTCCCCATAGTTATCCTGTTTTTAAACCCTTATTTAACTCGTTATATTATGAATGCACTCTACATTCTTTCCACCTTGACAGTAAGCCCTTTGAGACAAGGATGAAGAATTACTTATTTCTAGCTCTCACAGTACCCAGTCTTTATGATATGGCAGGGTCCCAAGAGTTTCTGTTGGTTGAATTATTGTTTGATTCTTAGTGTTTCCTATACATTAAAAAAAAACTTTTTTTTTTTTTTTAGATTGAGGGGCAGAAAGAAATGATGGTCCAATCAGCCGAACACCTTTGACTGCTATCTCTGTGATGTTAAGTCTGTCTGACTTCTGGACAGAATCGGACACATTTGACCACTCCTCTCTTCTTGAAACACCCTCTTCTCTAAGGTCTTTGGCACAGGACAGTATGGGTTCTGCCAAGCTTCTGTTGATCTTGTCAGTTTCCTTAGTGGGCTCCTCTTCTGCCTATGTCTTAGGTGCAGGAGGTCCTTGAGTTTTGTCACATCTCACGCTTTGGCTTCAAATACTGTCTTTATGCTGATGATTTTAGAATCTACATCTCTAGCACAGAAGGACCTCCTGTGATCCAAACCCATATACCTAACCACTCACTTTTTATCTATATGTCCCACAGGCATTTGGATGTCCCACTTGCTCCTCAAACTCAGAATGACCAAAACTGATCTCATGATTGAGACCAATGCCCACTCTGCTCCTTCCTAACCCAACTCAGTAAAAATGGCATTACCATCCACATAATTGCCCAAGTCAGAAACCTAGGACAGTCTCCCTTTTCAATCTCCCATACCTGCTCTACACATCCCCACTCCTCACTTGTTCCACCTCCTCTCCAGATGTCAGCTAACCTCACTTCCTCCAGGAAGCATTCACCGACTCCCTCCCAAGTCAGAGGGAGGAGCTTCTCTTACATGCTCCAATAGTACTCCATACTTCCCTTCCCAGCATTCAGGATGTGATACTTTATTATTGTCAGATTGAAGCTGGAACTCCTACCCAGAGACAGGGGGCAGCTGAAGGCACAGGGTGGTTCCAGGTACCTCATAATAAGCCAGGAAGCCTGAAAACTTGGTGATGGGGCCAGCAGCTCCAGGACCAGGGGCAGGGGCCCCCGAGTGTTTTCTGCAGAGGCCAGTGTAGAGGAACGTCCATACATTGGGATGCCCATGACCACCTTCTCCACAGGCATCCCTTTGTTTATCCAGTATCCCACAGCATATTCCTAGAAAGAGAAGTAGACTGAGGCACAGTGTGTATGGGAAAGAAAGGTGTCAGACCTTTCTGAGTCTCCAGCCCAAATTCACAGAAGTGACTCCTTGATTCCCTTTCTACATCAGTGGCTATGGAGGGTCCCACCAGAACCAGAGTGCTTATTCTAATGCACTTAATGCTCTTCAGCACTGAGACCAATTCAGCTTTTTCTAATCGTGAAAGAAAACTGAACAATGGGTCACGAAAGAAATCAGGCAAGTGACCTAGAAAACATGAAATCAAAGTTGTCGCCATCTTTCTTTCCCCTTTGAGTCAATTGCCTATGGAGTTTGTCTACACTATGGCTAGTTGTGTTACTGATGAAAGCGGGCGTGGGGGGAGGTGGCCGTCAGACCCTAGTCTGTGGGGCCTCACAATGACATCAGACCCAAGAGGCTAGGTAAGAGGTCAGAGGCTAGTTGGGGCCTTACTGCCCTCCAGAACAGAATAAGGGGTTAGAGAAGATGAGGATATGTCTCCTTACCCTTAAAGATAATCAATGGAGAGGAAAGAATGAAGGGAACTTGATGTGACACAATCATACGGAGTTCTAGAAAACCCCAGACTAGAAATCAGAATACCCAGCTTTGGACTGGCCCATTTTTTAATTTTAAACATGAAGGCCTGGAAATATGCAACCTAGACAACATTTTCTCTCACCCAATTTTAAGAATACACATCTCTATATATGTACCACAACAATAAAATTGTTTGGTTAATGACATTTTTCCCTTGCATTTTTCATTTGCCAGCACTTTTCAGGACCTTCACATCAGCATGACCTTGAACAGCCAATTAATTTGCCAGGCTTCCATTTCATCATCTGTGGAGTGAGAGTAATGCTTCCTGACCAGCCAACCTCAGAGGATTATGTTGAAGATCAAATTAGTGGGGAATGTGGACAGACACAGCAGAGTACCAAGTCCTGTACATCCATGTGGGCACTAGGAAATGTATCAAAGATGGAGAATTAAGAGAAGACTGGGGTGGCTGACACCTTGGGCCAGAGACAAAGCTTAGGGCGCTTCAAATATGAGGTCCTCTGACATTTTCCTGGTGACATTTTACTGTGCCTGGTCAAAGCATTTTCCCCGTTCTCACCAACTTCCAGGGTTACCTGAGTCCCTCTGGCAACACATCCCCTCCTCAGTTCAAGACAGAAATAACTCTGGACAAGCTGCACTGTCCTCAGCTTGCCCCACAGCCAGTGTCCCACCACCCTTCCTCCTTATAACTCTCCACATTGTAGTAAGAGCTTGTCCCTCTGTCCAGCTGCTACTTTCTCAGAGGGCTATTATGGTCAGTGATGAGGGGCTTTTCCCAAGACCCATGGAAGTCAAAGGAAAGGAGGTTGATGAAATCCAGTTCTCTAGATTGCCAAAAGCAAAGGAAAAGATTCTGTGATGAGCAGAGGTGGGAGCAACTACTGTTGACCCTTGAAACATTGTGGGTTTGAATTGCACAGTCCACTTATACAAGGGTATTTTTCAACAGTAAATACTGCAGTACTACATGGTCTGTGGTTGGCTGAATCCACAGATTTGGAGGAAACATGGATACAAGGGGCTAACTATAAATTACATGTGGGTTAACTCTCGCTTTGTTCAAGGGTCAACTGTATACATATTTGTTTTGGGCTTTGGATGCTGTTAGAAGGATTGAAATTAGCCATAGAGGAAAAGTTCCTGCCCAGATGATGTGGTTAGGATAGTGGCCTTCATGCTCTCCCTCTTCCCTTCATCCCTCAGACATACTGGCATGCATCACTTGCATGGGCCAGGCTGGAGGCAGAGAGATGGAGGGGGTGCTCCAATGCACTTACTTTACCAATTCCTTGATCTGATAGCTGTTGTCAATCATATGTCTCCCTGCGGAAACTCCTGCAGTCAAGAGAAGCCTTTCTTTGGTGGAATTTACAAAGTCCTGCTGAAAGGCTTCTGCTAACTCCTATGAAAACAAACAAACAAAAAAACCCCAGAAGAGGTCAATTTTCCCTCCCAGAGGAAAGCGCTAAAGTTCTTGCTTGATAGGACATTTCTAGATGGAAACAGCATTAGATGGAAAGATCAAATCTTTTCTCCCCATTCCCACATGGGGATGCCTCCTGCCTTGTGGTCAGGAAATCTCCACATTAGGTAGGAGGACAACCAGTCACATTGTACCCAGGAAAAACTGAGTTTCCTCCTAATGGATTCTCTAATCTATCTGATAGAACATCTATCTGTGAGACTCTTTCAGTGCTCAGGAGATTCTATGGTCCCACAATCTTTTATGTGGGTGTTGCTTTGTTTCAGTGTTGTTTATTGTATAAGGAGGCTCTGTTCTCTGATGTTGTCCTTGCCCTAAACTAGGACCAAGGGCTTTTCCTTCATCAGTGGGGGCTTCTGGAAGAAAGGGACTGTCTTCAAGCCAGAGCCAATCTCTTCCTTTTTTTCTCCTGGTGTGGCCATGGGTTCCACTTGTTAAGGTACTAAGGGTACCACAGAGTTTGCCTTACAAGAATCAGCACAGTGAAATAAGTGTTGTCTTTCAGATATGGGTAAATACAGCTATGTCCAGCCCATCAAAGTTATGGTTCCTCAGAAACAGGATTACAGAGTTGATAAATTCCAAGCGTAATGTAGAAGAATCAACCATGCGGTGGAACCTGGGTAGAAGCAATACAGGTGCTTTTGGCAAGAGGAAATAATTACCATTGCACAACATATTTTTCACAGAAATCCTGAAATAGTCTTCCGTTCCCCAATATATTCTCACCACTTATCTATCCCAACCCCTGCCTCTTTTGGAACAAAAGAGGAGAGGAAGGATTGTTGGGCCAGAAAATTGATTGGATTGGGCAGAGGACAATTGGGTTCTCTGCAGACCTTTCTGCAGGGTAATGGAGCTGCCTTTAACAAAGACGCTCCTTGACCAAACTTTAGCCAGACTCCTCTGAACCCTCTTCTCAATTAGTCTTTGACCTTGGACTTCTGTGCCTATCTTTGCAGAGTGCAGTTTTAGCAAGAATCCTAAGTCATGGACTTGAGGGCACGGGGAGGGGGAAGGATAAGATGGGATGAAGTGAGAGAGTGGCATGGACATATATACACTACCAAATGTAAAATAGCTAGCTAGTGGGAAGCAGCCGCATAGCACAGGGAGATCAGTTCGGTGCTTTGTGACCACCTGGTGGTGGGGGATAGGGATGGTGGGAGGGAGACACAAGGGGGAGGGGATATGGGGATATGTGTATACAGTACAACTGATTCACTTTGTTATACAGCAGGAACTAACACAACAATATAAAGCAATTATACTCCAATAAAGATGTTTAAAAAGAGAATCCTAAGTCAGTTTAATGAGACTGCCCCACCCTTGATATCAGATCTTCTTCAATATCTGATCAAATTCCTCCTCCCCTGCCATCCCCCAGGTGATATCTGTTCACCCTGGCCTGCCTTCAGCAAGAGTTCTGTTGAGTCAGTTTAGCAAGAATCTCCCTACCTCTAATGTTCCCTCTTTTTCCATCCACCAACCCGCACCTGCAACCTGTTCCTTGGCTATACCTCCCCACTTGCCCCTGCTGTATCCAGAATTGAGCCCAGTACTATACTGAGGTCTCCTTTCCCCTCTTATAATATTTCCTGAATAAAAGCTATTTTTACCTCTTTAATTACTGTCCAGCTCTGGTTTTCTTTAACATCTTACACCCTTGAGAAAGCAGTTTGCATTGTGGTGGGCTTAGGATTGGGAAATCTGGGTGGTCCTGGGAAGTCCCAGGTCACAGTCATTTCTAGTGACATTTTGTTCACTAACCAGCTCTCTGGCTTCAGTCTGGCCATCTCTAAATTGGGATTGAAGATACTGATCCTGCCTCATCTATCTCAAAGTAATCACATTTTGGCAAGCTTCATGAAAGCAGAGCTGGACTTCACATTCCCCAAACAATAAACCCAGGCACGAATTAGCAACCCAGATCTCCCCAGTCCCAGGGCTTCTGGTGAAAAGCCAGGAGGACCCTGAAAGCAGCAGCCCCTCAAGAGCTTTTATCTGAACTAGAATTCTTAAGCCAGGAAGTTGATTCTTAGCTGCCCACAAAGAGGGCACCAACAGTATTTAAAATCCAAAGCTATAGACAAGATATTGGTATTTTCCAGAGGACATATCCTTTGACTTGTATCACTTCCCACCTCTCACAACACCTCCCATCCCCAGACAGATTTAGAGTCTTGAATTCATTTGTTTCAATCAATATTAAATTAAGCTGCTTGTAAATTTTGGAGATTAATCCTTTGCCAGTTGCTTCATTTGCAAATATTTTCTCCCATTCTGAGGGTTGTCTTTTGGTCTTGTTTATGGTTTCCTTTGCTGTGCAAAAGCTTTTAAGTTTCATTAGGTCCCATTTGTTTATTTTTATTTCCATTTCTCAAGCAGCTCATGCAGCTCAATAACAAAAAAAACCCAAACAACCCAATCCAAAAATGGGCAGGAGACCTAAATAGACATTTCTCCTAAGAAGATATACAGATTGCCAACAAACACATGAAAGAATGGTCAACATCATTAATCATTAGAGAAATGCAAATCAAAACTACAATGAGATATCATCTCACACAGGTCAGAATGGCCATCATAAAAAATCTAGAAACAATAAGCGCTGGAGAGGGTGTGGAGAAAAGGGAACACTCTTGCACTGCTGGTGGGAATGTAAATTGATACAGCCACTATGGAGAACAGTATGGAGGTTCCTTAAAAAACTACAAATAGAACTACCATACGACCCAGCAATCCCACTATTGGGCATATACCCTGAGAAAACCATCATTGAAAAAGAGTCATGGGGCTTCCCTGGTGGCGCAGTGGTTGAGAGTCTGCCTGCCGATGCAGGGGACACGGGTTCGTGCCCCGGTCTGGGAAGATCCCACATGCCGCGGAGCAGCTAGGCCCGTGAGCCATGGCCACTGAGCCTGTGCGTCCGGAACCTGTGGTCTGCAACGGGAGAGGCCACAACAGTGAGAGGCCCGCGTACCACAAAAAAAATAAAATAAAATAAGTTATGTACCAAAATGTTCATTGCAGCTCTATTTACAATAGCCAGGAGATGGAAGCAACCTAAGTGTCCATCATCGGATGAATGGATAAAGAAGATGTGGCACATATATACAATGGAATATTACTCAGCCATAAAAAGAAACGAAATTGAGTTATTTGTAGTGAGGTGGATGGACCTAGAGTCTGTCATACAGAGTGAAGTAAGTCAGAAAGAGAAAGACAAATACCGTATGCTAACACATATATATGGAATTTAAGAAAAAAATAATGTCATGAAGAACCTAGGGGTAAGACAGGAATAAAGACACAGACCTACTAGAGTATGGACTTGAGGACACAGCAGGGGAAGGGGAAGCCGGGACGAAGTGAGAGAGTAGCGTTAACATACATACACTACCAAATGTGAAATAGATAGCCAGTGGGAAGCAGCCGCATAGCACAGGGAGATCAGCTCGGTGGTTTGTGACCACCTAGAGGGGTGGGATAGGGAGGGTGGGAGGGAGGGAGACGCAAGAAGGAAGAGATATGGGAACATATGTATATGCATAACTGATTCACTTTGTTATAAAGCAGAAACTAACACACCATTGTAAAGCAATTATACTCCAATAAAGATGTTAAAAAAAAAAGAAAAAAAATTAAATTGAGGATTTGGTTCCTGCATGTATCTCAGCAGCACAGTGGAGGAGATAGCAAAACTTGGACTATTATCTGAAAAACATGGTAGAAGTAGGTTTGTAACTTTATTCTTATATTTCAGAAGTGCTCACAGTGATTAGAAGAAAAGCAAGGATACCTCTTTTAGGGAGCAGTTGCATCTGATGTTCTGGGCAGAAACCTCCAATTTTAGGAAAGACAAACATTCTTTAGAAATTTAGAAGCAAGTCTGTGCATTACATATTTTTAAGTATTGCTGCATAGCACCTGGCACAAAGCCTGGCATTTACCTAATAATAATGACAACGTTAATATACAACAATAATTATTGCAACCATTAGGTCCTTTTTGCACATCAGCACTACCTAAACAGTTTGCTTGCATTGCCTGCCCTCACAACTTCATCCTTAGGTTGATTCTGTTATTTGCCTCATTGTGTAGTTTTTTTTTTTTTTTAATTGAAGCATAGAGACATTAAAAAAATTGCCTAAAGGAAAGAAAAAAGAAAAAAAGAAATTGCCTGAAGTTAAACAACTTGCATGCAGCTTGCATATAGCTAAAGAGAAAGCCAAACCAAATTTGTTTATCTCCAAAGTCCTACTTTTAACCACTACACTAATATACAATAAGTACTCAATAAATTATTTATTGAATAAATGAATGCATGCATGTAAGAATGAATGAATGAAGATATTTTTAATTGAATCAAAGATAAGCAGGTATTATGAATGAGAGAGAATTTGGGAATCAGATGGATAATTGCCATGAAAACCCATTAATAATTAAAAGGAGTTCATGGTGAGGTTAATGCAGAACCAGATAAGTTAGGTAGGTTGATCTTTTTTCTTTATGTGTGTGGAAATTGCTTTACTAAGTATTCTACAAGTTTTGAGCTGGTAGAGACTTTAGAAATTAATTAGGTCAGCCCTCTTATCTCATAGATGAAAATATTCAGTATAAAAAAAGGAGAAGAAAAAGTTGACACTTACTGGTCGATAACTAAGTCAGGCACATGACATACGTTACCTCATTCGAAGTTTTGCACGCACCTTATGAAGTAGATGTTGTGATGTACATCTTACAGATGGGTAAACTGAGCTCAGAGAGGTGAGTTAATTTTCCCTAGGTCACTCATCTACATAGGTCTTCTAATGCTACTTCTTTCCTCTGCTTACTCCAGCTGTAAAGAGTACTGACCTGCTACACGAGAAAGATGTCTTATCAGACTTCTCGTGAAAGCGGAAAGCCTCTGCTGACTGAGATTAAGATCTCTGGACTTTTTAAAATGTTGGCACTTTAAAAAAAAATTAAAGCAGAAGAAATTCAAAATTAGATTAACTGCATTTAAAAATTGCAAAAACAGGTGACTTTCTTCCTTACATATTTGTATTTATTTAGCTTGATGCAAATGGAGTATCATTTTCCTGTGAATAGGAATTATAATTTATAACAGATGTCTCATATTAATAACTATTTTGTTTTTAAGCAAAACAGACCTGATTGCCCCTATGCTGCTTTGCACTTCCAGGCCATCCAGCTGTACAACAATGACCCAGGAAATCAAGGTCCACTGATGGCTGCTAAGGACTTGGTTTTATGTGGAAGTCACCTACATGACCCACCCCCATGGTACAAAGTCAAACCTTCAAAACCCTTAAAAAAATTGCATCTCCCCATAGTCCATTAGGTGAAAAACCTTCGTGTAAATAATTGAAAGTTTACCAAATACTGCTTCCAGTTCAGTTTCTCCCACGACTTAAGTATCTGAGCTTGTGTTAAGCTCCTGCAGAGTTCCTTCCAAGACACAAGCAAACATAGTGCTATGCCTCAACTTGTGACAAAATTCAGATCAGTTTTGCCATCTAAGCCAAGGGAGGACCTTTCTAAAGCCTAATTCAATGTCTCTTTTCAAGAGGAGGAAAAGCAGTGATGATTAGAAATTACACGGCAGAATAAACAAAAAATAGAGATATTGTGGTCTTACCCTTTGGAACCAAACAGATACCTTCCAACGGACAAGAGAATTTTCAGTTTGGGATTCCTGGAGTAGAAGAATAAGCTGATTATTTCTTTCCTGGCTGCCAGGGAAAACTTTGCCTAAAGGGTTAGGACTAGATTATGGGTAAGTGGGCTCCAGCTATTTAGCAACTAAGTTCAGTGAAGGGATGAGGCATGGGGGAGAAAATCAGGAAGCATCAGGATTATACCCAAGGAAAAACACTTGAATAAACACACAAATGAATGAATGGAGCTAGAAGGCCTTAGGCCTAGTTTAGAACTATCTTCTCTCCCCCAAAACCCACCCTGGATGCTCCCCACTCCTATCCTACTGACTTGGTTTTGAGACTGCTGATGGTCTGGGGAAGCAACGCATCATTCTTGTCCTTGATGATGACCTTGTTGTTACTGATGCTGGCGAATGAGTAGATGAGGTGAGAACATAGGAAGGGGTCAGTGCTCTCAAGGGTGAACTTTCCTGGTTCCTGCCTGTCCCGTGACCAGTTGGTAAAGTAGCAAACCAGTTTGTAGGCAGATCCTGGAGTAGAGGGAAGAGAGCCAATGGGGAACCTAGTGCGGTGGCCTCAGAGCCCAGAATGCCACAAGTTTCTCCCTCAAAAGCCATGGCCTCCTTTGCTTATTCAGCCAGAGCCTCTGAGGGTCATTCAACCTGGGCCCTCAGTGCTGGCTCTTGAGCATCCAGACCCCAGTTAAGAGATACAATGAGAGACAGAGATATTATCCATAAGGAACTCATCCCCAGAGCACTGAGATTCAATGTGGATGGATGGATGAATGACACAGAAATATCAGTGGATAAAAAAAGAGATGATACACACAACATTGAAGTGGGTGAGAGAGACAGAAACAGAGAGACAGAGAGAGAGGCTCAAAAGATAGAAGCAGAGCCATGCATGCACAAAGAGACACACAGGACAAAACCTCAGAGTCATCAATATGTTAGTGTCAGAACCTGGCAGAGTCATCAAGAGAAACAAAATGAAGCAGAGATATAAACCAAACATCAGAAGGGACACAGCCCAGGGGACCCAGGCAGTGGTAACTCATTGACTACTTGACTTCCTGAAGCAACAAGACCACTAAAACTGTTAAGAGGTGGGTGAGAAGGAAATCTTCTAAGCCACAGCTGGTTCTCTGTCTCAGACTGTGGCAGTGAGTGTGTGGGTGTGCCTACATGCAAAATATAGCTACACTTCCTCTGGACACTGCAGGCATAGCTACTGAGGTCTTTTTATAGGGCCTTGAGGACCCCAGCACCTGGGTGCCTTGTGGAGTCTACAGCCCTACAGAGAAACATTTTCCAGACTGGGAATTCATTTGCTCATTCATTTATCCAATAGAAATTAATTGAACCACCTGCTCTGTGCCAAGTGTTGTCCTGGACATTGGGAAAGCTAAAATGAGGTTGATGCTGTCCCTGTACTCAGGGAGCTCACAGCCTTGTCTGGAATTGAATATAGTTAAGGTGACCAAATATTTTATCATCCAATGGGACAGTTTGGAGGGTGAAAAGGAGCATTATTAATAATTTCCCTGGGGCACCAGCTTGAACCAGAACTCTCCTGGGTGAATTGAAATGAATAGTCACCGTGTGTACACATAACTAACTCTTAAAACAAGGCAAGGTGAATTGAGGAGTGTGAGCTGCCTCTGGAAGTGCGCTAAGCCTTCATGACTGAGGTCATGTCCAGCCTCTTCTCCATAGGACACCTCCCCTGGGAGGACTGATGAGGCCATTCTATCCTTAATTCACCCTCCGAAAGGGAAGGAAAGGGCAGGACCCTGATGCTGGAAACCTCACCCAAAAGGCAAGACTCCTTGAACTATGACCCCCACCCTGGGGACATTGTCTAGACTTACCCACACTAAGACATTTGGGGGGTATGAAAATGGAGAAAAGGGCAGTTAAAAATGAGATAAAAATTTGGATGACAGCTGTTGGGGCTTGTGTCTTCTCCACAGACTTTGGGGCTGGGAAACTGGATTCAAGGGTTCTGTTCTCCTGATTCACATGACTCTTAGGGAACTGGCCCTCCACACACCAGCTAAGTGGGTAGGAGAATTCTGGTTGCCACATCTGCTGTTAAGTCAGCCTCCAGGCCCTTCTTCAAAGTGCCGGCTTCCTGTGGGCTGCTCCCCCAAGGGCTCAGAGCGGAGACCTTCAACAGGGAACTTAAAATGCTCTTGCCATTTCCAAGTGGGCGGGCATGCCTTGAGACCATAGGCAGGAAGAAAGAGGGAAAGACACGATGAAATGGCTCCTTTTCCTCCGTAAGACATAATCCATCTCGGCCCAGCAAACTTCCCTTCTTCACCCATAGCCCTATTTATTTAGTGTCATCCTCACCTTCATCCAAATTCCCAGCCACCATGAAAGCCAGAGTTTTGGATCAGAACTTTAGAGTTGAAAGGGGGATTTTAGAAAACATTTACCCCAACAGATCATTCTGAAGACAAGAAGTGGTGAGGCTCCCTAAAGTTTTAACATGTGCAGAAAGCAGAGCCCATGAAACATCGGACTCCCAAGACAGTGCTCGTATATCACAATCTGGATAAGAGGCGGCTCTGTGAAAATGCAGACTGAAAACACTCCTGATGGTCTGAAGGGCTCTGGCCACGGCTGCTCCCTTGCCCATCTAGGAAAGATCAGATGGTCCCCTAGGGCAGTCGCCTTGACTCGATAGGTTTTGATAAGGAGGTGAACAGAGAGACTTGTGTCCCAGGAGGAGAAGACGACCGCTTCTTCCATAGGTCTATGTTACCTATGTTACCCTTTCTCTCCTCATTAACTTCCTTCTGAATTATCAGCCCAGAGCTCACCTGCCCAGAGAGACAGACTTCTGGTCCACGGTGATTTCTCCCATATCCCCGGTCAGCTTCCCTGGGATGCCTCTGGGCCTTTTATGCCCTAGAGGTTTCAACAGCCTCTCTTATGGGAAGGAAGCAGGAAGAAGTCCAGGAGATTCCGGGGACTTCCCTTGGCAAATATGCCTTGTGAAACTTCCTGGCAATGAGACCCAGATTTGTGCAATGCCAAGTGTCAAAAAAAAAGCTGCAGTGGAGACAACCACTGAGAGGTCCTTTTCCTCCAGTCTCACCCTGAAGGGATCTGGTCCCTGAGAAGGGAAGAAGATGGTACTTTGGGTTGCCTCTTCATACTGCTTTCTGGCTCCCAAATCCCCTTTCTCCACCACCCAGGATCTGTTTCCTTCTTCTTTCCCTGACCTCCCTCCATATTCACGTCACTTGTGGCCTGCATATTCTTGATGATCTAAACAGACAGTGCTACCATCCCAGGTGGTCCTACCCTACAGCTCTTCTTCACCTGATAACATCCAATGACGCCTTCTCTATGGAACCTTTTTTGCTTCTCCCTGAGCCCAGGGTAGCTGGCTCCTCTGCTCACAGAACGTTGTATTTCTTCTCATGTGTCCACACCGTACTGTAGTGCACCGGTGTACATGTCCATCTCCCCAACTTGACTGTGTAGTTCTTAAGTACAAGAACTGAGTGAAACAAGAAAAACAAAAACCTCAACAAATATTTATTGAAGATTAGAATTGAATTGTACCCCAGATTCTAAGGTGCAGACAGACTCTCAAGGCCCTACACGATCTGCTCCCTGACTACCTCTCCAGTCTCCTGGCTTTCTCTGTGGGTGTGTCTCTGTCTCTCACTCTTCCTGACTCTGTTCTCTTGCTCTGTGTTAGTCCCAGGATACTTCTCTCCAGCCTTGAACCTGCTGTTTCTCATACATCAGAAGTGGGCCACACGCAGAAAAGAAAAATGGCCTGGATCCATCTTAAATTCTGCCCAAGGAAGAGCAATACGACCCCAACAGAGAAAGTCTGCTGTTTGGAGGGACATACTTGAAAATCAGGGACAGATGGGAACCAGTGGCTGGAGGAAAATGCACAAATTCTCTCAGGAGGGAAAAATGTCAGCTTGAAACATCTGCCAGGCCCTGGAGGCATGATGCCCTCTTAAGCCCACACCAGTTAAGTGACAACTATCCTATTCCTCTTGCCACTCTTCTCCCTCCCCTGGCTTTGACTAAAGCTGGCTCAGAAATCAAAATAGCAAGATGGAAAATCAGGGGGCGGAAGAGAAAAGCAAGAAAAGAGAAAAGGAAGGTGGGTTCAAGCAGCATCCCATAGCAGGCTGAGCTGGGGAAGAGGATCCGATTTAACTTTCAGTCAAGTTTGGAGTCTTGGTTATCATCTGGGACTGGTTAGTAAACTGAATTGTGTTTGTAACTTATATTGACTGTAGAAATTTTATTACCTGCAAGTCAGAAGAAAAATCCAGGAAGAGGGTAGAACCATCTCCACTGAGCAGCAAACTTAAAGGGACCAGAGCCAAAAGTAAAGTTGCTTTTATGATTCTAACCGGTACGTCCTGCTACTTCACTGTACCAGCCATACTTGTTCACCTTTTAAGAAATCTAGTGTTATGTCTAAATAGGAGCATAAAATATTCATTTTCTTTACATCTTTCCCACTTAATATACCTAGATATCCTTCCAAATCAGTCTCTGTCTAACTCAGTCTTTTTACTGGCTTCACTGCATTCCATTGTATGGCTATACCTTCGTTTACTTAATCACTTCCTATTGATCAACATTTAGCTTATCTCTAGATACTTTTGTTATTTAAAACAAAGCTAAAATGAACATCCATGAAAATATCTATTCTTTATATGTGTAGGAGTCTATCTCTAGGAGAAATCCCTAGCAGTAGAATTGATAGGTCAAAGGGTATTTGAATTTTAAAATTTTGAGAGTTATTGTAAAACTGCCTTCCAAAGACTTTGCACGTCTTTCAACTTTGTTATCTCTGCCAATTTCATAGGTGATAGATGTTACCTCATTGTTTTAATTTGCACTCTTTTAAATGAGTGTTATTGTTTACATTTATGAATCATTTGCATTTCGTTGTCAGAGCACTGCCTACATTTTTTTTTGTCTATTTTTCTATTGGATTTTCCTTTTTATTTGAAAGAACTGTATACCATAAATAAATTAGCCCTGCCTTTATATATAAAGTGTGTTAGAGCTTTGTCAAATATGTTGCAAATATATTTTCTTAGATTTTTTTGGTTTTAATTTTGTTTGTGGTGCTTTTGCCCACAATGTTTTTAATTTATATGTAGTTAAAATCAATCTTTTTTTTTTTTTTATGAGTTCTGGCTTTGGTATCTTGCTTAAGCAAACGGGCCTTTTAAACCCAAGATTATATTTTTAAAAATTACTTATGTTTTCTTCTAACACTGTGTCATTTATTTTTTACATTTTGATCTTTGACCTATATGGAGTTAATTTTTTCTTTAATGCCTGTGGATGGAGCTTTTTTCCCAAATAGTTAGCTACATGTTTTAATATTATTTATTAAAAATTCATCTTTTCTTAACTGATTTGAAATGCCACTTTCAGGTAGCGAATTTACTAGGTAAATTTCTTTATTCTCTGCCCCTATATTCTGTTCATTGATGAATCTGTGCAGTTTAACATTGTAGCACATCTCATATACACTTTGGTTTCTGCTTTTTAAAATATATAACATTATATTATGCCACATGCATTTCTTGAGAACGTTTTCTTTTGCATGGGTCCACATCTAAAGGGACCCTCTCAGATGAGTTAGATGTGAAATATAGCCCCAAGATAGTAAAATAAAACAAAATGTGAACTGGAGTCATTTTTTATGGTTACCAAATCATAGACTACTAAAGCTAACATTCATCATGCCATGTTGTAGAGGGGAAAAGTGTACACCAAAAGTAATAGTTTTAATTTTGGAGGAGTTAATATTGAGTTGACCTTTAAGATACTAATTGACCAATAGGTTAAATGAGCTCTTGAAGCCATCCCTGGATGAAGAGAGGGGGTCAGGATGGAGAAGGATATGACTTGGATCCTGATAACAGGACAGAATGGAGAAGGATGCTTGGCTTTCCCTTTGGTTCAATCAAAGAATCCAGAGGCCTTGTAATTTCCATGTTTTCCTTAATGATCACACAGCACTTTCGTGAACAGGAAGAAAACACAATAATTGTCACTTTTTAAAGTGCTTGGATGTGCCCTGGAACAAGATAACACTTTTAAAAATGTATCTGTGAATTAGAGAAGAACTTGGGCTTGGTCATGTTTTTCTGTTGTATTTTATTTCATTTTTACATATAAAAAGCTGTGCATAATTAATATATACAACTTGATGAGTTTGGAGATAAGTATACACCCATGAAACCATCACCACAATCAATGCCTTAAACCCATCCATCATCTCCAAAAGTTTCCTCCAGCCCTATTATTATTATTATATTGTGATAAGAACACTTAACATAAGATTTATTCTCATAACAACTTAAGTCTACGATATTGTTAACTATATATCCTGTACAATAGGTATCTAGGACATACTCATCTGTGTAATGAAAACTTTGTACACTTGACTAATACCTTCTTTTTTCCCCCCCTCTCCCCAGTCCCTGGCAACTACCATTCCAGTCTCTGTTTCTATGAGTTTGACTATTTTAGATTCATTTTATAAGTGGTATCATGCAGAATTTGTTCTTCTGTGTCTGACTTACTTAACTTAGCATAATGTCCTCCAGGTTCATCCATGTTGTCACAAACGGTGAGGTTTCCCTTTTTTTAAGGCTGAATAATATTTCATTGTATGTATAGACCACATTTCTTTACCTATTTATCTGTTGATGAATGTCACTTCCTTGTCTCAGCTATTGGGAATAATATTCCAATGAATATGTAAGTTCAGGATCTTCAGATCTTGACTTCATGTCCTTTGGATATATATCTAGAAGTGGAATTGTTGGATCACGTGGTAGTTCTGTTTTTAGTTTTTTGAGGAAACTCCATACTGTTTTCCATAGTGGCTGCATCAATTTGTCTTCCCACCAACATTGTACAAGCACATCTTCATCAACATTTGTTATCTTTTGGGTTTTGGAATAAAAGCCGTCTTAAGTGTGAGGTGAGGCATCGCTCTTGGTGCTGTGTAGGCTTGGGAGAGAGGTGGCACGGGTAAAATAAAACTGTCCCCCCTACCCTCTTCAATGTGTCTTTTTTTCATTTCTGTGTTCTACCCGGGTTCTGTAATCTCTCACCTGGATTCTGGAGCCCTTATGCAGGTATTTTCATCCACAAATGATTGTCACATCCATGTTTCTGTGGGGGGATGAGGGCTGAAACCTTCTATTCCACCATTTTGCTGACTCAGCCATATTTATTAACATTTACCATGGAACTTGATCTGTCAGGAGTTCATTCCTACCTACTCTGATTCTCCATGGCTCCAGAAGCCTACAGAACCTGAGTCAATATGAAAATCACTCAGCTCAGCCCACTGAGAGGGGATCAAGAAAATGGTGTGGAAAACTTTAACTTTCTTCTGGTTTCTTCAGTGAGGTTTACAAAACACAGCAGAGAAAAATATTATTGTGTATAATATTAACATCATGCATACAAGAGTTCATTCTCCTTGCAAATTAAAATGAGGCTTTGGAAAGCATTTCTGTTTATTCGTTCATCTATCTGTTTAGGAGAAAGCAGTATGGAGATCTGAGGATTTATATAGAAAACCAGTGTGCTTGTTTTTTGGGTGAATACAGAGCTTCATAATTTTGAAACTAGGGTAGATCAATGGTTCCCCAGTAGTTGTCATTGGACGAGTGCTGAGCTAGCTACAGTCAGAGATAGGTAGCCTGGGAAAAGACAAATTTGAGTTTATTCTGAGATAATCACATTTGCTTAGTTAGAACTTGGTAAAGTAGGGGACTTGCTATAAAAGTCAGAATTAGGTTTCAATAGTTTCAGTAGAAAAAGATCTATTAGGACCTTTTCAGT